TGCGGGCGGGAAGGTGCGGGGAAGGACGGTGCGGCAGGGTTTCCTTGCGCCTTTGTGTGGATGGTGATGAGAGGTGTGGGTTGTCTCTTTCTCCCCCCACCATGTTAGTTTCTCTGGCGGCGGTTGTGGTATTTTATTTATATTCTTTTCTGAACGTTGCCAGTCACCAGGGCGATAGTGCTAATAATACGGGCATATGCAGGCTGCCTCTGTCAGTCATCTCATCAGCTCTCCCTCGCTTTCCTCTGCCCTACGCGTTAAAAACAATTAAAATGAGAGGGTCTAATAAAAACCCAGAATAGAAACCTTTCTTGTTTCAAAATAAGGAAAGTATATTTTGCAGGGAGGTACTGAAATAAGTCTGTTGCTGGCTGGTTTCCATGGTACAGGCCTTAACCCTGTGGTATGAATTCTGCTGCCTGATTTCTCAATCGCTGATTTTGTTTGTAGAGGAGGTGAAGCTTGAAAAACAAAACCAGCCTACAAAAAACAACCTAAATAAAAAATACCCTAAACAAACAAATACTACCAACCCTCAGAAAAACCCACCCTGATGTGAGTGAACTTAAGTGCCCCTTTGGTCTCGTTAATCCAACTGGCTGTTGCTTGAAAGCAGCAGTATCGAGAACCTGGCAGGGTGAAAACCTGTCCCAGAACAGGTAAGGGCAGCACATACACTATCAGACTCCTCACTCACGGCTTGAAGCCATTCCAGCTAAGCAGAACACCCCATCTCCTTGGTGAGTCGATCTTTTCTTTCCTATACGCTACTGTGAGCAAAGCATGCAGGAGCTGAAGCTGTTGTGAGGTGGACCTGGCTTTCTCAGAAATATTAACGTATTTTGTGTCAACAACTGCATGACCCCAAGAACTAGGGTGTTGCCCTTGGAGAGCAATATCCTTCTGTCCCTTACCCACATGCATCCATTTCAGAATTACAAAATTAAGTACGTATACCCTGGGGAAGTGGTTGGCGAAGGGAAGGAGGGAGGCACTGGTAGCTTGCTGATACTTGCTATTCCAGTTTGTAGGCTTGTATTTGTGGATTCCCAGCCCCAATGAAAGGATGAACAATACTATGAAAAAAACCAAAAGTATCACTGAATTAAAAAACTCTGAGACTACAACTTGCTGGTTCCACAAGTAGTAATTAAAAATATAGA